AAAAAGTATTGGTTAAATCACGAGAAGTTGACAGGTCTATTATGAAAAKTAGCCATGAGCGCGAGAATGGGTGAAGTATATGATGTCACTATATAAGTAGGACCCATTCCTCTTGAGCCGAATGCTTGGGAACGTAATTTCAATGGCGGACGAGAAAATTATCGCATATTTTTCAAACTTCCCGTTGGAATATCGGGATAAAATCTATACCAGTTATTAACAAAGTAGAATAGATTATTTTGGGAAAGTTTCAAGTCTCTACGAATAAGTGTCATTTTCGTCCAAGTTGCACTTTAAAAAAAGTAAGTTATATATAACTTCAATGAAAACAAAAGCTTAGAAAAACTGAGCAGAAACTAAACAATAGCTTAATAATACCCCTAAACAAAAAGAAACCTATTCAGGAAGAYAATGCATTTTTACATATGCATAACCAGTGCCAAGCTATTCTTACCAGTAGATTCGGTTTAGGTGATCCCTAAAGAAATATAACGTTTAAATTAACTAACATAAAAATCCAGAAAAGCATAAATCAAAGGTTTTTTCTTACCTTCAAGGCAGTCTAACTTAGAGACCACCTTACATAATTCTTCCTTTAACCATTTGACATTTGCTGACTCCGCCATGATGGAACCATGTGGCCTGAAGGAGTGGTTACTAAGTTACGTAGCAAAATCTTAACCACCCCCCACCCCACCCCTCCCCAGAGGTACGTTTGTGTTTTTGGCGGAGTTGGTACGCGGTTGAGAACTCAACATTCAAGTTGGAAAAACTCAACACTGAACTTCGAACTTCCACAGACAACTGACCATGTAAATATACAAATATACAGAAAAACATTAATTACTCGGGGTTCCTGTGGAACCCAGAGTTTAAATTTCGGGCTTCTTATTTTTCTTTTTTTTCATTGTCGTCGCTTATCAGTCACAAATTGTCCACAGGTAGCCCAAGCTCATAATCACGTGTTATTCTAAAAATGCTATTTAGAGACCAATTTAGCGAAATATTATTATTGTCCTCGATAGAACATCTAAATGAAAGTATTATTGCGAAATTTTGAGCCAAAATAATGCTTTTTAACAGAAATACGAGGAAACGAAAATTGGTAAGAATGTATGGGCTTATCACGGCTCAATGCGTTTTAGACAGGTCAAGAAATAACTACAAAAGGCTGTGTTTAAGATCTAAATGAATTTTTCATGTTCATGGCCAAAAACAGCATATAATTCCCAACAATTATGCAAAGTCTGAAGTCAAACTGCGATTATTTAGCAAAAATATAAGCGTTTGAATATGGTCTTACTTTACAAGGGAATGTATGGGAAAGCCCTGATGGTGTACTATCCAGTACACAACCACGCGGACAGTAACTCCGAGTGTCGAAATAAGCTCAAAAGTAATGATTTTGCTTCAGTTTTCTAACAATATCATTCTAAAAATTTAATTTAATGCTGAGACTATAGTTGTTTTAAGATTTATAGGCTTTCCGAGGTTAATTTGGCGTGTTTCAAGTAGCTTGACAGTATTGCGTGACATATTTTTGAACGTTAATAACTCAACGAATAAACAGCAAAAATAGTTGAAACTTTCAGAGAGAACTTCTATTATG